TATTTATTTTAGTTTTAAATTAGATAATTGAAAAGTACAAACTTAAATGATCATAAACATATATTGCTCATGTCTGGGTGAATCGTATTTGCTGAGTTTTGTTTAAGTTTAGAGACGTGCTCAAGAAAAAAAGTTCACGGACACGGAGAGGCACAGCCTGTTTATTTTCTTTATTTTACAAAAGCAAAATATTTTATTTCGATTGTAGGTGGGCACATTAAAAAAGTAGACATTTAACAGTTTATTTTTTAATATGTCTTAACTCTGTATGACCAGAAATGATGGAGTAGTTTAAGGCCATGTTTACACGGAAACGATCTGAAGAGAAAACGCAAAAGTGGCGTTTCGTTTTCACTTTTTATTCTGCGACTAGACGAGCGTTATGGGGGGGAAATCTGCGTGCATATGGAGACGCAAAAGTGTTAGAAATGCGATGTAGTATGCACTCCAGGCGGCTAGGTGGCAATGTGAAGCACTGCCACACAACAACAACAAGTCCGTGCGCCTGCGTACAACCTTCCTTCTACTTCTCTCCCTAGTAGCGCGAAATTGAAAAGACTCTTGGACGTTTATCAGAGCTGCTAGGGCAACTTGAAGGTCCGACGTATGGAAATAATCCGACATGTTGGTTGTTATTTTCCTGTACTGGCGCATGCCTGTGACGTAAACGCGTACGCGACGAGAGCCGCCATGAGCAGATTTGCGTTTTTACCCGTTTAGACGGAAACGCGACGGTGGAGCGTTTTTAAGATTTCCACTTTGGAGGGTGGTTTCACTTTTTTGCGTTTTTAAGCCCCAAAAACGCCGTCGCCGTGTAAACGAAAGGCACATCCGATAAAATATTATTAAGTTTTCACCCGGAATCGTTTTCGTGTAAACAGGGCCTGAGTCTATTTTTCTGCTATGCGAAAAAAATCTGCCAAAACGCACCGGTGCGTTTGCCGTCCCCAGAGGGTTAATGCTTAATTATCCCTTAATTAATCACTTAATTATCTCATTAACTTTAACACTGCATCAATATTACTTATTACTTTAACACTGTGACAATACGTACTCTAAGCAGTGTTGATTTAACACTGGGGATTTTTTTGTGTTACCTGCAACTTTATAGTAATCCTGAAGGCCTTGATTAGCTATTTGATTAGGGTTGGAGCCAAACTCTGCAAGAAAGTGGATCTCAAGGTTTATAGTTGAGGACCACTGGTCTAGTGGAATGTTCCAGTGTGTCTGCGGGGGCGTGGATGCCAGTCACGTGTCTTTGACGGCGCATGGAGAGTTCACCTGAGAGGAAAACATTGTGGTGAGAATAGATCAGTTCCCAACCACATTCTTGGATCCCCCCCAACACTGCACATTTTGCATGTCTAATGCAACACACCTGGTTCAGGTCATCAGTATTTTTTTTCTCTATAAAATTATACAAATGTATGTAAAATTACAATAATAATCTATAATTGAACAGTAACAAAACAGTTAAATGATAAAACCGTCGAATGACTGGCAGCCGCCAAAAAAAAAACCTTGGAAAATTGAAGTAATAGGCTATACCATAATTTAAATAAGCCGAAAAACACAGTAATAATTTAGAAAAAAATCTGTAAAATTACAAGCAAACTAAAAAACTAGTTATAAAAAAAGGTCAAATGTGGCTGCCAATAAAAAACCCCCCATCAAATTAAAGTAAAATATCCCAATTTAAATAAACCAAAAACCTTTTTATTTTACATTTATGATCAAACACCAGCACTGTATAAAAAGTTTAAAAAAGTAATAAAAAAAACAGCAGCAACATTATTTTAATTTACTGCAAAACTTTCAACAGACTTTTTCCTTAAATGTTTTACAGAAAAACACTGCTATTTTACAGGTATTTCCTTAATTCAAATGACTGGCAGCAACAAGGGTAAAACTGTTTTTAATGGCAGGCTTGCAGATACCGTTGACTCGCGCTAGCCTAGCACCGGCGAACTATGCAACTGGAACGACTGGATGACATTTTTTGAAAACTGTCTCCACTGATAAATAACACCCAGGCTAATTTGGAAATGAGGTCCGATGCCCAAAATCCTGAACCACCCCTTTAAATATGGAATTGTATTTGAATGGTAAAGAGTGTCGGTACGTGACAGGAGGGCCTCCACTCAAGGATACAATATGATGAACAAGTCTAAGAATGTTCCACGTATAGTTGAAAATATCATCATTGCCCTAGGAAGATAACATTCTGGGAGTCAAAACTATAAAAGAGGAAGGATGCCTTCCCTTTACCGTCACACTGTGTGACTGTATGACTGCTGGCCTTTTCTTGCAAGAAAATAAACCTCAAAGACAATTGGAAATGTTTGTCTCTTATTCAGTGATATAATTTTGTTTGCCACCAGATGTGCGAGACTGGAATTGTTATAAAAAGTGGTAACCCGCAATTAGCTTACGATCCAAATGGTCTGTGTGCTGATCTGTAGGAGAAAAAAAAGGAGGAAATGATTGGGGAGATGCGGAGAGCAAGGATTGTGTGTTCTGCAAGAGTTGGGGTAAATAACAATGTCACGATCCACACTCACAAAGACAAAGTAAAATCCAATAGTGCAGTAGTATTTATTAAGGGAAATCCAAAACTCATCAACCAGTCCAGGCAGGGGTCATAATCCAAATATATACGATCCGAAAACATAAAACAATAAACAAATAAGCACAACGCAGAAACAGACCTTAGATGTGGTGTGATGAATAACAAGGACTCCGTAACAAACACTAAACAAGCAGGGTACTTATGCCGCGTTCCAGGCAACCTGTAACCCGTGTTGTTCCAACCTTATACCCGTGAAAGTGCACTGGAACGGCAGTCAAACCCGTGACTTCCCACCCGTGAACTCGTACTAGATCGATGCACTCCCAGTTACGAGCTCTGACGTCACATAGCCCGCGAAACCATACAAAACAACAATGGTTTGTTTAAATCTAGCTACCACAATTCCTTGCGCTCAGGTAGTTTGGCGTGACTGGCCTGGAATGCTACAAAGTCGTGAGTCGTGGTTTGAAGTCGTGATTTACGTGCTCAAAAACCTGCCTGGAACGCAGCATAATACACAGACTAACAAGCATAATGGGTGACAGCTGGGTGCAATGAACAATGATGAGAACAGACAAGGATTGTGGGAAATGCAGTTTCTAATGTGACTGACACCGTGGGAGAAGGGGACCTCTAGTGGTGAACCAGGGAAACACAAAACAAACCTGTGACAAACAAGCTGAGCAAAAATACATTATCATGTTTAACTTTGTCCTTTCAAAGTTGCGTTGGATTTTCTCCTCAGTGTAAAGGTTGAGAGACTCATCTATCTGTTTTCCATGTTCGTAGAGTTGGTTTCTGGAGTAAATATATAGGCTATAATCTGTGTGTTTACACATGTTTTTAAAAAATGGCGTGTGCTGGTGTTTCACATGCGTTCGGCCAATCAGTGAACACTGACATCACGGAGAGTTCCTATAGCGCTGGTTTAGGCCGACTCTAGGGTAGGAGGGTAAGGGTTAGATTAGTTATTAGCTAAATTAGTTCCTCCAAAAGGAGTTCCTAGAACTAAAATCGTTACTAGTTCCTGCGGTGCGAACGCGCCAAACTCCGGGAACCTCCGCCAATAATTCTAGGAACTATGAAATGGTTCCTCCGGTGCGAAAGCCCTTGCTCTCTCATTGGCTGTAGGTCAACATTTCACACAGCAAGATTTTGAATCGCTGACAGGTCCAGATATTTAGAATGCCAAATATCTCATGGACACCGGTGACTCATCATTGAATAGGTGTGTTCGACATCGGCTGCGGCTGGATGTAAGCGATCGGTGAGAGTAGCCGCGTGCAGGCGGGGAGGAGCTGCAAACGGAGACGTGAAGTCGGACACTTTCTGGTTCCCGTAGTGACCGCTCACGTGGTGTTTGTATACTTTACCACAGCTGAAGTGAAATAAATTAAATATTTGCCAAATGCACAGATGTTTCAGACACATTTTCATTCAATACTTTATGTACTGCTTCATACTGCATCTGTTTGAACAAGAATAAAGTTCAAAATAGCCACTATCAATGAAGTGCAGTCGACGTTTTTTAATCACTTTTATTTTGATAAACATAACACAATATAGCCTAACATCACGACTACATCACGACTACATGAAAAGAGTGTTTACTGTTATAAAAAACTGATTTGTGAGCTTTAGTGGAACTAAAGGTGTGAGAATAAACACGAAACGCACGTGATCGTTGTCATGCGTTGAATCCGGCCAATCGTGGAAGAGCTGTGTCGTCATCAGAGCTCGTGCAGCCCCGAGCAGCCGCTCTTTAGAAGCTGCGCTGGCTGAGTTCTTCGGCTACTCTCGAATCGCTCTCGCGGTACTTTGATGGCATACGTCACAGTCACGTGGTGTCGGCGCTGTATCAAGTCGGACAACATTTCTAACCGGCATGCACTGCTTCAAGTCTGCCGCCGATCGGTCTGCGCAGAGCTGCATGAAGTCGAACAAGCCTAATCTCTCAGATCGCATCACGTGACCAATTTCGCAAAACCAGTGTGTAAAAAAATGCTGTGTGAACTCGGCATTAAATAACCCAGGTGAAATCCCCAGCACTGCACATTTTGCACATTACCTTACCTGAAACCCACTTCAGGTTTTGTAGTCTCTACTTATGAGCTGATGAGTTGAATCAGTTGTGTTAGATGAGGGAGACATACACAATGTGCAGGAATGAGGTTAAAAACACGACGTGTATAAATTCAGAGTTTAAATGCCTCTTTATTAATCACAAAAAACACAGGAAAGTACAACCTTGGAGCACAATCATTTGCTATAGGCTATGCTCATAACAATTCATAATGAACAAGAAGTCAAATAATACAAAAGCTGGAAATTAGTATACCTACATTTATGTTGCAGATATGTTCAGACTTAAACTAAAAGAATGAAACAAAAAATAATAATTGATTCCCCTTTAACATAAAAAGCTTAAAGTTAAAAACAAAAAGCACATACAATGTCCCAGTTTAAGAAGCAAAAACAACAGACTAACAATAGCTGAAAGTAATGTAGATCTGGGTATAATTACAAGTTGAAAAGAGGTTGCTATTTTTGGGCTAATTGTTTTTTTTCTTCTCTCTGTGTTCCTTGTACTTCTTCACAGCAAGATTCGCACCCATTCCCAATCCAGTTGCAACACCAGCTGCGATCAAAACTGCAGGTAAGATCACGACCTCTGTTACTCCCAAGACTACACCTCCTGCTATTGCTGCTCCTGTTCCTACAACTGATCCAACTCCTAATGCAACATCCACTGCCTTTTTTTTCATCTCTTTTATTTTAATTATTTTCTGAGCTTTTTCAAACATTTCATTAGTGTAGTGGTTTCCCCCGTTTTCCTCAATTATTCTGTCAATCTTATCCATCAGTTCAGTGACCTGAGTGCGGTTCTTCGTGTCTTCGTTGTTGAATGCGTGATATCTGCCACCACAGCTGTCAGTAAGAGTCCTTAGATGCTGACATTCTCCAACAAACTTTTGCAAAGGTTTACCTTTCAGCTGATCGCCGTGAGTGAACAGAATGATGGTGTAGTGCACAGCATCTTCTCCAAAGTTCTGCTGAATCAGTTTGACCGTGTTCACCTCCTCCCGTGTATATCTCACACCCAGATTGATCACCAGCAGGAACACATGAGGACCAGGAACTGACAGGTCAACACAATGCTGTATCTGAGTCTTCATGTCTACCGCAGTCATTGCTCCACAAAACCCTGGCATGTCAATTACAGAGATTATTCTTCCTCCTCGCAGCGCAGATTCTTTACTGGACTTGGTTGTGACCTCTTTAGGGGAAATTTCTGAATGAAACACTGTCTGTCCCAGGATGGTGTTTCCTGTCGCACTCTTCCCTGTTCCAGTCTTCCCCACCAGAATGATCCTTACCTCAGATGCTGCAAATCAACAACTATCATAAGGATTTGTTCAAATAGGATGTATTTTTTAGTCATACAATATTTAAAATGCATTTAATGAACTAACACACTTTTGAATTAACACTCTATCTGCAACATGGCATCATGACTTTGCGTAAACATACACGCCACTTTCAAGTTAAGTGGCGTGTTATCTATACGCATTTTGAGCTATCCACGTGTATGTCCACGCCGAAACGAACCGTCATCTTTTGCGTGTATGTCTACGCCGTTAAATGTCCGAGTGATTCCGCGTGTATGTACACGCCGTTAAATGTCCGAGCGAAACGAAGCAAAACGTAGATCTACATCTGGGGAGCGATATTTTTTTTTCCTAGGATGGTAGGGGAAGACTCGTAAATGGTATTAACCCCAGTGACGGGTAGGTTTAGAGACGGGGTTGGGGTAGGTCATATATTTATATATACAGTAATATAACGTTAAAGGGATAGTTCGGCCAAAAATGATATTTAACCCATGCATTACTCACCCTCAAGCCGTTCGAGATGCCAATCTTGTTTCAGACGAACACATTTTCAGTTATTTTAGAGAATGTCTTAGACCCTTCAGTGGATATAATGTGAAGCAATGGGGTCCACCTCCTTCAAGTCCCAAAATGTGCATACATCCTTCACAAAAGTAATCCATCCGGCTCCAGGGGGATAAACGAAGGCCTTCTGAGGGTAATCCGTGCGGTTTTGTCGTAAAAATATACATATTTAAAACTTTATAAATGAAAATATCTGACTTCCGGCAACGATCGACGCGCGTTCACGGGTGATTTGTTTTGCTCTGCTCTCTGGCTGCGCTGGCGCGTTAGTTCTACGTCACGACGGTTCCTACGCTACATCCTACCTCGTACGCCGACTTCCATCACCCGTGAACGCGCGTCGATCGTTGCCGGAAGTCAGATATTTTCATTTATAAAGTTTAAAATATGTATATTTTTACGACAAAACCGCACGGATTACCCTCAGAAGGCCTTCGTTTATCCCCCTGGAGCCGGATGGATTACTTTTGTGAAGGATGTATGCACATTTTGGGACTTGAAGGAGGTGGACCCCATTGCTTCACATTATATCCACTGAAGGGTCTAAGACATTCTCTAAAATAACTGAAAATGTGTTCGTCTGAAACAAGATTGACATATGCATCTCGAACGGCTTGAGGGTGAGTAATGCATGGGTTAAATATCATTTTTGGCCGAACTATCCCTTTAAGTCAACGGCGTTGATAAACACGCTGAAAAGCGATTATGCGTGTTGAAAAAAGAATGGAAATACGAATTGGCGTGTCATACATACGCCATATCATGAGATGAGTCTTCTATGGGCCCTATTTTAACGATCTTAAAAGCAAGTATCAAACATGAAACGCAAGTAACTTTTTGGGCGGATCTCGGGTGTTATAGCGGCGGGATAAGTGACGCTTGCGCCCGACGTAAATCTAAAATGGGTTGGTCTATAGTAGCTACATTACTCAGAGGTGTGGTTTGGGCATAAAACTAATCAGAGCGACTTCTCACATTCCCTTTAAGAGCAGGCGCGCTTGTTCCATGGCAGATTGCTATTATGATGGAGGATTTGCCAGGCGCACAACAGGAGCGGTTCACGGCCGAGGAGACCGGCGTTCTCGTCAGGGCCGTAAAACACAGAGAGTGGCGTTGTATGGGGATGGAGAAACCCACCCAAATTAGCTTCGGTTAAACAGGCGGATAATAATTTGGGTAAATGTGTAAGCTAGATTATGCCTATTTTTTCACATCTTCATGGACACCACAATGATTTCCCTCATGTGGTAATATGCTTCCTTGTAATTATGTATGGTTTGCAAACATGGGAACTGCTGCATCTGTGTAAATGAGATAAGCGAAGTGTATGTACACTGTAAAAAATGATCGTGATTTTAACGGTAAAACACTGTAAAAATGCTACAGTGAAAAACTGTTAATTGGTTAACAGAAAGTTTCCTTACTATATACGGTAAATAACTGTGATATATATATAATGGTACATTTAATGTAATTTTACCGTAAAATACCGTTAAATTTACAGGTTTTGGAAATGTAAATTGACATTCCCACAATTCCCTGCGTGACACTTCACATTTGATGTATTTTATTTTTAAATAACTGTTTCTTCATAATTTTCTTAGTTTTTTTCTAATCAGTTATGTACATCAGGGTTTTATGTTACATTCAATGTTGTTAAATTAATGCTTATTGCATTTTTTAAATTTCAACATGTTACCATGATGGTGTTTAATGTTTGTATGAATGACACTGTGCAGCTTCTGTATATTAGTAATAACTTTCTTGTGGAAGAGTTGCTTATGATGAGTTTTGGTTGACAATTTGACTCTCATCACTGCTGTGATTGTTGACTGTCAGTGTATTACAATGGAAAAAAACAGATATTAATACTTCAAAAGGTCAGTAAATTAACATTATATCAGATAATGAAATACGGTTTATTGTTGTAAAATTATATACGGTTAAAAGTCTGTGAAACCTAAAACGTTGCTACCGTATTTTTAACAGGAAAACTCTGGTAACCACAGCTGCCAGGGTTTTCCAGTAAATTTAATCGGGGGTTTTTTACAGTGTACGTTGTGCACACGCTACATTATGGCCAAGCATGCGCCCTTAAAATAGCATCTGAATAACGCGCCTCTGACTTTAGACTAGGTTTCTTCTGGTCAGTGGCAGAATTGTTTTTTGAAACTGCACAATGTCACAGTCCTCGTCTGCACCTGTCTGTCCCTGTCTGCACTACACTTCCCAGAATCCTCCTTGTCTCCACACCTGAACTCACTCCCTCACTTACCAGCCTGTTCATCGTTATCATCATCTGTGTCACCTGTCTTCACCTTGTTATGTTTGATTTGTACTTGTATTTAGTTCCTTCAGTTTAGTCATTCTTTGTCAGTAGTTAGTCTTACTTATTATGTTGTGAGTTGTTCTGCCTGTTTGCCTTCTTGTACCTGTTTTTGAGTTTACACTTAGTAAATGTTTGCATTGGAGCTTTTGCCTCGGCCTCCTTCTTCAACCCGCACCACAACCGTGACACACAACAGCACCAGGGAACGTTTGCGCCGGAACACGCTTCCTCCGCTGAACTGCCCCGGGAGCACAAGTTAATTCCCTAATTTACCGACGTGCGTCTGTGGAGGGAAAAGTCTGCTGTGTGTCGAGTGCAAAGTAGGAATGATACATGCGTCGGGTATAAAGTCAATTGTGCTGGGTGCAAGATAGGGCCCTAAAACTCAAAGATGATTGTGACATCATCAATAAACACCTAACAGATTATTCCCAGTTTTTCTCTTGGCATATTTGCCAAGAGAAGTATTTGGATCGTGTCGAGACTTTGAAGCTGCACTGAAACTGACATTTGGACCTTCAACCCTTTGGACCCCATACTCTCGAAAGCTTTCGTTTAGTTAGAACTCTTGTGTAAGTGAACTATACTAAGCATTTGTCAGTACAACATACTATTCCTATTTCACTTAGTTTTGTTTTTGTTTTTAAGCAATCATCTGAAGATAAAAGCAGACATAAAATCTCTAAGGTCTCAGGTCTGATCTGTAGTAAGATTTTTTTGGTCAGGAATAAAATGTACAATTATTCCACTTTATGATGATGAAATATATCACCTGATCATCTTTGTTTCTGGCTTCCTTTGCAACATCATGTGTTTTGGTTGCAAAGACCACAAACCCACATAAAAAGTCCCGATTGCCGATTTCGAAACACGCTCTATCAAACTGCCAAAGTCACGTGATTTATGAATAACGCGGCTTTCTTGCATCATGACCGTTTTGAAATGAGAATTACAATAATATAAATTAAGTTCCGAGTACCCAACTAAAGGGAACACTAATCACCATAATGGTGTGTTCAAACAAAACATTTTAGGAAAATCAACATCAATTTATGAAGTCATCTTATGTGATGTTCTCTCAATTTTTTCAGTTGTAGTGACAATTCATCATTCAAGATGACTTTGGGAAAGTCAAAGACTTTTTTTTTTTTGACAAAATGGCACTGAAACCAATCAATTAATCTTAACTTGGGTTTTCTGAGTAAACAACACACACAGAACTTTATATATTTTTGTGTGTGTGTGTGCTAAATTTAAAGTCCTTAAAGAAATACAATACATGGTTTTTGTTACTTTAAAAACTGATTATTCTTTGTTCTTCAATGACATTCTTGCAAAAAAAATTTATCGTGTGTTTTTTTTTCAGCCAATTACCTCTCATTGTTACATCCATCCCCAGCTAGGGTTACAACTCACCCGAGTAGTGGGGTTGCAACAATGGAACTCACATAATCTGTGATCATGTCCAAGTGAGTTATTTTTATTAGACAAATGTGGCTATAATGTATCAAATTTTGAGAGATATAGAAAAAACAACCACTGAATTAACGATGCTCAAACAAAAAGTTTCACTTTCATCCCTGATCTCCCTTAAAAATATATGGAAATATATTTTCATTCCGTAAGAGATGTCTTTACATTATTGAACCTTCTCAGTGAACTATTGACTGATAAACAGAAATTAGAATCAAATACAACCTTTTAATGAAATTCATAAAGTGTTATACAAAGTCTATCTATATCTTATTGTAAAAATAATGTACAGTGAAAGCCTGACAACATTGAAACCTCTAATAATCGTTACACTAGTTAGTATCACTTTGAGAAACAAAATTAGGGGGAAATGAAATCACTTACTCAATGGGACATTTGAGTTATCGAACATTCTGGAATAGTCACTTGACAGTAATGCCTCTGTGAAAAAAAATCATGTTGATTAAATTTGATACTTATTGCATGTTACTTAAACTTAAAGCATTTCAATAAATGACTTACCCGTATCACTCATTTCTGAAATGTTCTGGATATTTCTTAGTTGTGAATGCTGTGTATAAGCTTTACTGTATATGTTGATCAATCAGTTATATATAATGCTCCCCAAGATCTCCCCTATCTTACTGTCGGAAGCCTAGTTTCGTTATAACAACAGGAAGGAACAGACGTTGCTTTTTTAATGTCTATAAAAGGAGATGATTACATTGAAACTGAAAATGTTCCAGATGGCAAGTAACCATTGAAACAATGTTAAATCAATGGTAATGTGTTAATGTCAAGGTTAAACACATTGAATAAACATCACTTTTGAACACCAATGTTTATTTTTTTTGCAATTTCATCAACAACCAAAAAACAATGGTAAAGGCATTGAATCAATATAACAATGTGTTGTGGTTCAACATCATGCTTGCTCTCTAAGAAAATGCAACACAACTACACTTGACTTAAAGACACAAAGGGGACTGGGAAAGGGTTAGACTTTACAAGAGCAACTTCATAAACAGCAGTTGCAAATAGATAGCATTCTTCAAAGTTTAGCTGAAATACAATCTGTTGGATCAGTCTGTCTCCCATGCCCCTAACTCTGAGGAAGGACCAGCTTTCTCAGAGACGGGGCACCCTATGGCACCTGCAATGAACTTTATCAACCATTCAAATGTTTCATGCATAATCATTACTTTTGCCGGTTCTTTGCATAGACAGTAAAAGAAAGGTTCTTTGTGGCAAGCTTTATTTCAGGTGTTGCGTGATATCTCTGCGCCCCCTGTGTTGACGCTTCACACTCCTGTCCAGTTGGTGGCGGTAAATGCACCTTTTAGCTGGTTTGCCAACCGCCATAAAACTCCAAAAGAAGAAGAAGAATAAATGACTTCCTTTTACACTGAAAAGTTCACGCACATCCACATATGAAATCACCGCATATACATATATACACAACTAAAGCCTGCATCCACGTTTTATTTTGTATGCATGTGTAACAGTTTTACTCTGGTTGTGTTTGTTTTCTATTCAATGAAGACAACGCCGATTGAAGAGGTCTCAGCATCTTTATTCTGCAGAAATACAGAGCACAATTAATATATTCTTTTTTGTGGGATACACGTCTCTCCCCTTCAGTCTCATACAGCTCATACAGCACGGAGAAAGCAGCCCGCTCGTCAGATGAGCGAGAGAGAGCACACCCGACCCCGTCAGCGGCAAATGTGCTTCTAAAGATGGCGCTGTCCGCACATAGCACGAGGTATCTTATGCGTCACCAATATGTGCCCCATATAAAACAATATTCTGCATAAATGGTTCCCACTAGAACTATGTACATTGTACCGGATTACAACTCAGCACACAAATATGAAAACAAAAATAATTAAGTTTTGATGAAGTTCACTAACAATCTTCATTACATTTCACAATTTTTTAAACCAGCTACATACTCCCCGCTGAACTACACAAAACTAGTTCAATATGGATAAGTAGCTGTACAAAAAGCTACACACAGAATAAACAATTTACTCTCAACGCACTCGACACAGCAACATATGCTTCCCAAACCACAGGGAAAGTGACCTAAGCAGGCTGATCAGACCAACTAAGGGAACACTTGTAAATAGGGTGCCCCAAACACCACTACTTAAGCGTCTATGTGACAGTTACTTTTTTTCTTTTTTCTTTTTTGTACGGCTCTGCCAACTCAATAGGATTATTTGAATAGGCTCAAAGGAAACACTCTCATACTACTCATGTGACTGTTCAATCCATTTTATGACAATAAAGACCTTGCAACCCCATTTACTGAACTGGTCATATTCATGTTTTGGGTCATGTTCTGAATTAATCTGTTCACAGGTTTCACAAGCCTGCCAAACCTGGTTCTGACTTGAGTCACCACCTGATTAGGGAGCGAACCCACAGGATCAGAGGTCTGTATATCGTCAAATGAACCTCCCACTGATGCAGATAACACTGTATCACGAATCAATCCTCCATTACTTGAATGTTCAGAAACATTGTCACATCCGAAAGAATCCCCCATAGTTGCTGAAAGCACAGATTGTGCAGGATCAGGATCCACTGCCACTGGAAGGACACTCTCCGTCTTAGAGGATGTACTGCCCAGGTCAACATTTGGAGCCACAGCCCCTGCTACCCAACTGGCAGTTCGGTCAGTGTTGCTGTATTCAGACATGGGTGTTAGAGCATTGCTCAAAGCTACTCCACTGCAGTCATCAATTGATTCAGTGCCTTCACTGAATGAGAGTTCAATTTCCTCAAACTCCATTGGTAGAAAGCTAGCTTGGAGGAGCAAGTTCCTATGAACAGTCTTTTCCTGACCAGTGTGGGTGTTGCAGATTTGGTAGGTGTGACATTGAGGATTAAAGGCAACAACGGTATATGGAATGGACTCCCACTTATCCGTCAATTTCTTGCGACCACGTTCACCTCTGTTAGCCAGCAAGACTTGGTCCCCAACTTCAATACTGCAACCTTTTGCCCTCTTGTTGTATAAGTCTGCCTGGCGTCGCTGACTGGCCTCAGCATTCTTCTGAGCAATTGTCAAAGCTTCTTTCAAATCATTCCTAAATCTCTTCACGTACACATCATAATCAATGAGGACATCGTTCCTCTCCACACTGCTGAACATTACATCCACTGGGAGTCTCGGAACCCTGCCGAACATCAAATAAAAAGGTGCAAATCCAGTTGACTCATGAGCGGTGCAGTAATAAGCAAAGGTCAACGATTGCAACATCTGCGGCCAGTGTTGCTTGGCCCTAGGTGGCAATGCCCTGATCATACCCTGTTCTAGACTTCCTCACTCCAGCAACGTATAGCAGTTCACGAATCAGTTGGCTCCCGAAATTGGCACCTTGATGGATCCTTTCTGGGAAGCCATACACACAGAAGTATCTATCCCACAGTAGCCTTGCAACTTGTTTTGCCGATTGATCTTTACAAGGGAAAGCATGGGCCATCTTCGTAAAGTGATCAGTTAAGACCAGGACATCCACGCTGCCGACCACTGGAATTCTCCGCAGACCAAAAATCTATGCAGACCAATTCCAGGGGGCTCGATGTTTTGATGCTTTCCAGAGGAGCTCTCCCTTCAGGTTCTGGAGTTTTGCTAACCACACAGCGTTTGGAACATTTAACATATTCACGCACATCCCGTTCCAAACTGACCCAAAAGAACCTCTGTCTCGCAAGGGATAAAGTCCTACCCTGACCTTGATGCCCAGCTTCATCATGAATGCCCTCAAGAACCTGCTTTACCAGCGAACTTTGAACAACATACTGCAGTCTCCTTTTTTGCATTAGGACATCCTTAGACACTCTGTAGAGTATTCCATCAAGCATTTTGAACTTCTCCCACTGTTTAAGCGTTTTTATTACCTTGTGAGTTTCCCCAGTTCTCTCACGTCTAGATGGTTTCCTTCCTCTACTCACATAGAACAAGACCCTTGACAGCGTTGAGTCATCCTGCTGCTTCTCCTGTAACTCCCTTAATGAAAAAACAGGCAGAGGACTAAGACCTGGAGACGACAACTAGTGGGTATCCTGAGCGAGCCACTGGACCGCTCGATCTCTTGTGCCTACTTCCCACTCTGTGTGAACATCAAGGATTGCCGACACCTCAACACTGGTAAGTGAACATGATTCCGAGAATGCAGAGGGATAATGTTCAACATTACAGGAGTTTGCACTCAACCTGAAAACTTCTTGTATGGTGTTATCATGAACTTGCTCCGCCTCTTCAAGCTGCGCACCATACGGCACTGACATCAGCCTCTGACTGACACAACCACGGATGAAGGGTTGCCTACTCAAAGCATCTGCGACCACATTTCTACTGCCGGGTATGAATGCTAAAACTATAGGGGGCCAGCTTAGACACCCATCTCTGCTCGCATGCATCAAGCTTTGGCTTTGTCATGATGTATGTCAAGGGATTGTTGTCCGTCCAGACAGTGAAGTCATGTCCCTTCAACCAGTGACTGAACTTGTCGCAGACGGACCACTTCAGGGCCAAAAACTCTAGGCGATGAGCAGGGTACTTAGCTTGTGCACGAGTGAGAGCTTTACTGGCAAAGGCAATAGGACGTGCCTTAATTTCTCCTTCTGCTACTTGTGACAGTACAGCTCCTAATCCATCCATAGACGCATCTGTACATAGAACGAATGGTCGGCTGAAATCAGGGTGAGCTAGCACAACAGATTCTAACAGAGCCGTCTTTAGCTTTTGGAACGCCACACTCTGCTCATATTTCCAATCACTGGGATTCAGTCTCCTAAATGATGCAGTGCCCCTCACAGTGGCCTTCCTTCCTCTGACTGCAGCTGTCAAAGTGAACAAAGGCTTCGCTATGCTGGAGCAGTTTTGAAAGTTTTGATAATATAACACCATTCCCAAAAATGACCTTATCTTTTTCTGTCGAAGGTGTCACTCCATCTGGCATCATCAGATCAGATTCGGATATGGCAGAAATGGCACTAACTTTGCCTGGATCCGTTGCCACTCCAGTTTCGTCAATGACATGCCCCAGAAATTTCACACTTCTCCTCAGAAAATGACACTTCTTCGGGGCCAACTTCAGTCCGTGTGCTCTGAGCCTAGTAAACACAAGCTCAAGCCGATCAATGGCTGCTTCTTCATTTGGAGCGTACACAAGAAGATCATCGAGATAGCATAACAACGTGAGGAAATACTGATCCCCGAAGATGTTGGTCATGAGTCGCATAAAACTGGCTGGACTGTTACAGAGCCCTTGCGGCAGACGGTTGAATTCATACAGACCCATAGGAGTCGTGAAGGCAGTGAACTTCTTGTCTTCTTCAGACATCATGACGTTATAAAAACCTGAGGTTAAGTCCATCGCACTAAAGAAGACATTCCCTCCTAAAGCTGCTAAACAGTCTGCCTGATGAGGCAAGGGGTGGGCGTCCTTAACAGTTTGAGCGTTCAGCCAGCGGTAGTCCACACACACTCTAAGGTCCCCATTCTTCTTCCATACCAACACAAGTGGAGAGGCCCACTCTCTATTGGACTTAGGTATGATTTCCTG